TTTCCGTAATAATGGTGATCATGATGATGTTGATGGTAGCCCTGTTGATATGCACCAGATCCTGGTGGATATCTAGAGTTTGGTGTATCGGTTAGTACAGCATCGAGCAAAACTTCGGCAATTTTATCGAAAGTTGGACGACAGGATACCAAATTTACAAGAGCAACAATAAACACAAAAGTAACGGTATACTTCATTTTTTAATTTATTTTTCTAAATTTAAGATGAATGTTTGTTTTGATGATGTATCTATGTATAGAGTTTAAATAAAATTTTTATAATTATTACTTCACTCGCAGTATTCAATAAACTGGGGGTTTTTTAGTTTCATTGAGCTTTTATATGAATAAATATGTGTATGCTTACTTACATACATAATTCAGGTTTTGTGTGTTTATACATACATATTTGGAAACCCCCAGAGATAAGCTCAAGTAAACAGTTCATTGATAACAAGAGCGTGTTCGCAACTAAAAGCATTTGCTCAAGGATCGATGATAGTAAACAATATTGTACGTATTAAAAAATATTTATTGTTTGGTTATCTATGTGTGTACGTATGTGTTCAATGTCTATGCCCACATCTTTAACGCAAGGAGTCATGGTGAGTCAACTACAGAATAGACAATTTTTAAAGGGCATATTATACGGTGTTTACATGAGGCGATTTCACAAGCAACTTTTAGTTAAAAGCAATTTCGAATTATTGAAGTTTCAAGCATTTCTGAAATTTACCGTTTATAAAAAGCTGCCGTAATTTTAGTCCGATTTCAATAATTTTCAACGTTTTGCTTTTATTTGGCAAGCACAATAAAAATACCGAGTTTGGTATAAATTGGTAGAACGGTTACCGATATACAAATATGTGATCATAAGTGGGCGGTGCCACGCCCATTTTTCCAAAATTTTACCATAAACGTATATCTTGGTAAAGAATTGTTGCAGGCATCAATTTTGAATAAATTAGCTACGCCCATTTTTCAAAAATTTATTATATTCTTATTTTTCGTCTAAAAATTGTTGTAAATATCAATATTGAGTGAATAATCTTCAATAGTTACTAAAATATCGCAGTTTTCGTATTTCTGGAAATTACCGTTATATGGAAAGTGGGCGTTGTTACTGTCCGATTTCGCCCATTTTCAATACCAACCTACCCTGGATTAACAGAAATTACCAAATTTCGTTGAGATATCTCAATTTTTGCTCGAGTTATCGTGTACGCGGATGGACGGACAGACGGGCAGACGGACAGACAGACATGGCTTAATCGATTTCTCTATTCATTCTGAGCATATACGTATACATTTGTCTATATCTATCTCGATTAGTTTTGGCTGTTACAAACAACCGTTATGTGAACAAAATTAATATACCCTTGTGCACAAGTGCGCTCGGGTATAAAAATATTCCGACGAATTGATAATCTTCGGTTAAAGTCTAATCCATTTCCAGCGCTTACTAAAGTAAGCAGTAAGGATTGTTAAAGTAATTACCAAAGATTACACGTGGATCCGACAAGGATTAGAGACAAAGCCACTTAATAGTAGCAACAGTTTTTATTTTTTGAATTTTGAATTGTGTCGTTATTGCAGAGGACCGATAAGTGCTGTAATTAGATATTCAATGACGAAAAGAGTGCGTTGTTTTCATAATGTTTAATTTATTTGTACTCAAAAAATAGATTCCTTTAAGCTGCCAAAGAAGTGCGTAATACTTTTATGTTATGTATGTGAAATTTCAGCTTTCAATTACTTCTATGTCCGAATTTTAGTTTAAACAACAATATATATAAACAATAAAAAGCATTAAATAATAATAAAAAATTTTTATTAGCGGGGAATAAAATGGGAATGAAACAAATATAAGTCTTTCAACCCTTATTTCTTGCGAACCGTTTGCGATATCTTTTGCGATACTTATTTGATATTAATGCCGACTCGTCAAAAATATTTCCATTTAGTATTTTATCTTTAGAAATATCAAAACAACCTTGCAAAATATATCGCGAAATGCTCACTAACGTTATTCCTTGCAACTATCGTAAATGAAAGTTTCACTGCCACAAACTGAACGACATATAAATCATATTGCTATCGTTCCCAAATTAATTTGCGAGAGTTTTTCCGGGTTAAATCTCGCATTTCATTCGCATGCGTTATCATGTGCGAGCATTTGGTCCGCTGGGTGGTGGTATTAACATTGAAAAGCTTGAAATTAAAAAAAACATTATCAGTGCGAATACAGTACAAATCCATACATATATACGAGTTCACACAAACGATGACACCGCCGGTGATGATATCGATGAGGGCTATGATCGATACACTATAAAGCAAAAGTTAACGGAAAATTCTACTTCGAATATATGTTTATGTATGTATTTACTTGTAAAAGTATAAGTTAGTGTTGTGAGTATCGAGTGCTTTTGAGAATCGAGTACTTTATTTAAATATTTTTACATATGTTGGTAACATTTCAATGCTTAGTGTAGAAATCTCACTAGCTGACAGGACTTTATTCAAATTAATATATCAATCCCAATAACGTCGATTGAATGCTACTTTGGAGGGGTTGGGCTAGAAATCCTCAAAATCGAAATCCCCAAAACAAAATCCGCAAAACAGAAAAAAAATTATTTCACATAAATAGTTAAATTAATTAGAATAACTTTTTTTGGTTGTTTGTGTTTACGACAGGGTAGGAGTTTGATGTATTGTGGAATGATTTTCCGCCATACCTTGTCAAATTTGGTTTGGATACAAACCGGTTTCGACGTTGTGCCATCTTCAGTGTCATTTTTCGTTCGAAACCAAATTTGACAAGGAATGACAGAACATCGTCTAACAATACATCATATTTAGAATAATTTCAAAAAAATAAATTAAAATTATTATAAACTGGCAAAGATTAGAGCCTTTCTTTCGTTACTTTATAATTACTGTTGTACTATGTATAAAAGAGCTTTTAGATCTTATTTTATTAATGAATTTGTTTATTAAATGAAATGAAATTAAATAATAATAACAAAGAAGAGAAAAAAGTATACGTGCTTATGCGCGACTGCTAACACATGCTGTTTATTGCTGTATATGCAAAAATTTCCTTCATTAAATTTATGAGATTTTTGCTGATGCACTTTGCAACCGCCATGTAATAAAACTTTCTTAAGTTAAAATTTGATGGCTGTTCAGAGCAGGGATGAAAAATGGAAATTTTAGATTGTACCTAATATCATAAAATATATGTACCTAAATGAGACGGATTGTACCTAAAAAAAGTTACATAATTCATTTGTAGTTTTTTTTTATAAATTTTATTTAAAACATGAATACAAAAGATGGATGTACTTTAAACATGGTTATGTTTTTTTTCAACTGAGCCTATATCTATGACTATAGTCTAATGGGAATCGGAGAAGCGTTGTTTTGTCTATCTTTGACTACTGTAAAATATTGGTGAAAAAGACAAAAAACACGCTTTGCGAAGTATACTTCTTTATCCAGCAACAACACGAAAAGTCTACTAATTTATCCGATTCCTTTTAATAGGTGCAACAAGTCTAGAGAAAATAATCAAATTGCCGTAAGTAACTTCGAAAGTATTTTAAATATATTTCTAGAAATCAAAAACGAATATGGGTCAATAATAACAATTGTACCTAAAATCGACTGACTGTACCTAATGTACCTTTAAGTCATCAAACGTCGGAAAAAGGTACAATTGTACCTACTTTTTCATCCCTGGTTCAGAGTATGCTCGGCCGTGTTGCCACGCTCAAAAAATTAAATTTACCAAAGGCGTTCAAAAAATTTAACAAATCCCGTTAAAATTAAGCAACGTATTTAACGGGTCTTAATAAAACGAAAAATGCGTTCCAAGCTTGGTAAATTAGGTATAACAACAAAAAGGTAGGCAAGTCTGATGCATCCTCCGGACAATGCTTTCGGAGCCATTTGCTGACTCTTATGACTTACAATCATGCGGAGGTGGTAAATGAACTTTACCATTGGCCACAGCACTAATCAATTTTTTTCATATACATATGTACATGCAAACATACTGGTCTCCCCTCTCACTTAGTTATTCACTACGCTTGAGTTGCTAGTATGTATTAGGGCTTTGAGTTCTGTGTGGAATGTCTGGATAATCTGTGAAAAATTCACACTTAATGGAGTTCTTCGATCTTAACAATATTAGATCGCTACAACAACAGTCCTTTGTCGGGAAAAACTCGAGCATGCCTTAAGAATAAGGATACACCATCGGCTGAACTTCGTCTCACCCAAAATTAATTTTTTTATTAAAATATTTGGTCCAACGTTTTCACCAACAATTCGCGTTTACGTTTGGCTTTGTGGTCGTCAGAAGGCATATCCTCCATTGCCGGCTTAAATAACCTAATGAAAGCGTTACGTTCGTGAAGAAGTTCTTGCGGCAACAATGATCCGGCTAGTTGGTGAATCGTTCTTGATTCTGTATAGTACAGTTGGTGGCAATTTCAAAATGGGGAGTATCATTGGTCCGCAGAGATCCAATATATATAGACTTCTTTCAGAAGAAATACCCTAAATATCTTACAATTGTATTTGTAGACATTTATTTTGTTGAGTCACGATAAGTCAAGACCCGCAATGGTTCTGGTGGCTGATTTAACGGTGATAATTTGACTTTGATCCTAATTTTTGAGAACCTAATTTATACAGGTACCCACTTAAACACATAAACAAAAATCATTGAAATCACACGGGTCGTTTATGTACGTTTTTTTGGAAAAAATTTGCAATAAAAAAGACTTTATTGCATTTTTTAAACAATATACCGTTTTTGTTGTTTTCGCAAATGGCTTATCGATAGCTTATTTTCCCTGCTTTCCAACGGTATATAATTTGTATTGGGCGTGGCAAAAGGACTACACGTTTTTCATCATAGAACTCAATCGGGTCCGCCTTGCATTTTTGTCGGCAATAACACAAGTTTACAGAAATTAAAAAAAATGTTCGACCAGCGGCATTTTTATGCATGGTAATATAAAATATCCCACTGAATCCTAATACAAAACTAAAATGTAAGACAGTAGAACAGTTTTTGAGATATAGCCGAATTTCGGGTTTTTGAGATCTGAAAGAGTGCACTCACTTCATTACAATTTTCTTTAGATCCAATTGGCCAACTGCAACATTTTTTTATGAATTTTTCGCTGAATCCGAATACGAAATCAGAGTACAAGAAAGTAGAAAGATTTTTGGGATATTGCCGAATTTCGTGTTTTTGGGATCTGAAAAAGTGCACCCACTTAATTGCAATTTTCTTTGGATGTAGATGGCCAATCTCAAATTTCCTTTTGTCTTTCCTTTGTCTCATGTATAGCTTCGAAATTGCTTATCAAGTTGTAAGTTGACTTGTTGACGTATATAATAGCAAATTTAATAGCCTTTACTATACTAATACCTACAAGCCTACCAAGCAAATCGGACCATAAATACGATTTTTGGAATATATCGGTAGCTGGTCCACCTACAGGAAAAAAGCTACCTACGTACCAAATTTCAAGTAAATCGAACCATAAATAAGATTTTTTGGACCGGATCGGTTCTTGGTTCACCTTTCGGAAAAAAGTACATTTTTTTTGCCCTTGACATGGAGGCTGCTGAAAGCTATTTATTTACTAATTTACATGAAAATCGGACCTTCCGTTCGCGAGATTACCTTTTACAAAAAAAAGGAACTTCTCTTTATATAAACACCGTGCGACAAAAACAAAAAAAATCAAAATACTTGAAACAATCAATATGTCTACTCACAAAGCAATGGGTCAAATATAGTAAAGCTGCGTTCTTAATTTTTTACTCTGACGTCAGGAATTTTTTAATGACTTTAAAATGTTAAAGATATGATTGATTCAAAAAATTATTTAAAAAATCCGTGGAATATACAATAAGAATGTGGCTACCAATGAAAGACAAAATTCTGTAGAATTGAAAAACATTAAAGTTTTTTGCCCCGACGATACTAAAGGCGGATTCGTCGTTTTAGTTCTGAAGTTGAATTAAGTAGCAACTCAAAAGCTTTTAGAAGTTTTCTCAGTTTCTCTGCCCGAGAGCGAAATACAACATCAACCACGTGAAAGAAAATTTTTTGAGGGTCTACTCTGTACTGCGATTCGAAAAGCAAATCATTCGGATACGAATACTGGGCTCTATGAATTTGTATTAGTCCGTGTCGCCTTTCGAATCGCATTGAGTTTTGAATCGCAATACAGAGTAGAACTAGAACCATGAACCCAAGGCGAATTTAACCACTTCGGATTTGGCCTTTGAACCTGTGGTAAGATGAAAGTAAAGACAATATGTGGTCGATTCACCGAATTAGGCATAGTTTAATAATCTGCTACAACAAAAAAAAAAAACAGTAAGCAATTTTCCTTTCGATTTTCCTTTTTTTTTAAATAGTTTTCTGCCGTAGAAATTTTCCAGAATTCAGCTCTATTTACAATAAAAGAAATATAGTTGAATTTTTAGATGCTATTATACATAGCTATAACTAATCTAGGTGAAAACCCGGCGGGAGATTCTGTAACCGTTTAACGACAATTTTCGGATCGCCACCGCACTTTTTCACGCATAATATGATTGTTTTTGCGTCTAAAACTGTGATAGCGATTCGAAAATTGTCGCCAACTGGTGGATTTAAACAAAAAAAAATCGCCGAACAGAAATCTGTTTAAAGTAAACAAAATATCGCTTGGCGCGAAAACATTATGGGTTTCAGTTTGAAACTAAGTGAATATGGTCTATTTTTTCTCTGTGTACGTAAATACTTTCAATTCACTGATAGCCCGAAAACCTTTGTGATAGACGCTAAATTACTATCTGTGCTAATCACAAACGGCAATAAGTTTTTTCCAATATTTCGTGTTATTAAATTTAAGGCTGAAAACTTACCCTTCAGTTTATATTTCAGTTTTGTACGCGACTTAATCACGTAGCTAAAATGCGAATTATTTCTTCAGTGACAAGTTCGACATTATTTCTCGCCTTGATAATAGCATGCCGCGCTGATAGCGACGAAAGTGATGAAAGCGGCGAACGAAACACAAAAGTCTTCGACAGGATTACCTCGCTGCTTTATCGAACTACTAAAAATCATGGGCATCATCAAGACGGACCTGGCAGCCTAATGCATCCTTATCTATATATGGGATTTCCATACTATATTGGAGCAGGGCCATATATGCCAGCGGAATATCAGAGGACACCACCACAATCATCTGTAGCTTATAGCGCTCCACAGCCGGCACCAGGCGCTAATACATTTAATGTTGCACAGCTACCCAACAATGCAAATCCAAACTATTCCCTATATCCAAATTACCCTGCATACCCGAGTGTTCCCACATATAATCCATATCCAAGCATACCAACGCAGGCGTATTCTTCAGATAAAAAACACCGTCATCGCCATTCATCAGGGGAAGATTCAGAAGAGCGTAACTATTCCAGAGGACAACAAGATTCAGGAAACGGTGTTAGTTCTATGGATCATTCGCTAAAATCAAATACTGAATATCAAGAAACGGGGCATTTCTTTGGCCCATATCAAGGACGTCCGTTAGGCTTACAATAAGTTACTGAGCAGTCGTGCATCAATTAAGTTTTTGTTGTTGAAATACTGACGAAGAGAAAAAAAATAAAAATAAAAACATACTTATAAATATATACATACATATTTATCGTTTCCTTAATCTAGAAAGGCCCTATCTCACATTGTCGCTGAAATACGAAAAGGCATAACTAAGTATAAATCCCAAATTACCTTTTTGATAGATTATTATAGGTTTGTTCGTCGAAAATCTAGCAAGAATTATCCAACACTCAAAATATCAGAGAGTAAGAAAAAATTCTCTCAAATTCTCTCTCATATTGAGAAACTTGCAAATTTCTGCACGAACGCAAATTTGCAGGAATTT